ATTGAAAAAAAAGGCACAGCGCAACAGCCGAATGTATACAACATGGCGGTCGATTCAGAAATGATTTCCGTTCAGGTTAACTCGTTTCGTCAATGTTGTTCGAGAACCGAAATTTTATTCGATAACCGAGGCATTTTCATCTCGAATTTTCTATATCTATGAAATTTATATAATCTTATTTTTATATTAATCTCAGTTATGGCATTTTTCCATAAATGAAATATCAAAATTAATAATAAAATGAATGCAAATACAAATAACACAGTCAAATGTAATAAATGTACATAAAATTATAGTATTTTATGTACACTTCTTATAAAATTTCATAAGAAAGGTACCTATAAATTAATTAGATACCTTTCTTATGAAATATGAAATTTAATCTCACTCTTAACAGTCCTATTTTAATTTCTTTATAATATATTTTCCATAAAGCATCGTAAACGTAATTGCTTTTCAGTTCATGTTGCATATAATTGGAACGGTTCATGTAAAAAAGCGAAACGTTTGAAAAATTCTTTCAATTGTTTATTGCTCCCAAAAATTACTTGACATTGCACACCACTGCGCATGTCACTGCTGCAAGTTTTTTTTATTAGAAATCCTTGAGAATATATGAAGTCAACCAGATTATCATTTAATAAATGAGATTTGCATATAATAATGGAACGCATTGTATCTGATTAGCTAAGAAAAACATCATATTTGTTAAGGAAGCGAGCAAGTTGTTTTCGATTACTTAAGACATATCGATTTTAACCGAATTTCTTTTTTTAAAATTGAAATTAATAAACTTTGTCTTTGTCAATTCTAATTCGGCGAAATAATGCGAAGTTTCAATAAAAAAATCGTTTATGATTTTATAGTGAAATATTTGTTCGAGTAATTTAGAAAGAAATGATAAATAATTTTTTAAAACACATACACTTGTCGCATTCCACGCATTGGCTCAAAAACTTATTCGGGTTAATTCTGAGCGAAATAAAAATGAATTGTTTGTAAAATTGTAACGATCGAACCAAAATAGCGTACTTATATTCATTTATTCGTTTAATATATATTTCCGGTTTCCATCAATATGACTGATGCTAACCTCCAGGAGAATGACTCGTTTCGCTTTCTTGGGCTAACATTCAAGGCTGAAGTAGACTATCTATATTGAATCCATTACTAAGACTTTTACTATGAAAGTTGGTTCACTGTGACGGGTTTGACATTTTTTTCCATCCAAAATCTCTTACATAACTATAAGTCTACCATTCGGCTATGCTTCGAATATTGCTGCCATATATGGTCCGGTGATCCTGTTATATATTTAGATCTCCTTGATAAAACCCAAAGAATAATCAGCAATATTAGTGGTCCTCACCTGGCGACTCTTCTTCAGTCACTTTCCCACCGCCCTAAAATTGATTCCCTGTGCCATTTCCATAAATACTTTCATGGTAATTGTTCGGGTGAGCCTCTAGACTTTGCGATTTTAACCACAATACTAGATTGGCAACAAGGTCTCATCAATTTATAGTTGAATCGGCTAGATGGAACTGTAAGTTCTATGCTAACCGTTTCTTTTCTCGCAATACTTGCATTTGGAAACCTCTTCAAAAATTTAAATGCATTGTTAATCGTAATCTATTGTCTTCTATTTTTTAACTCTTTAAGAATATTTCTGTTTTTTAATTCATTCACATTCTGTAACCCCTTACGTTTTATTGACTTTACTGCCATCCATATGGTGAAGTAATTATATATATAGAGAGAGAGATGTGTGCGTGTGAGTGTGGACGTATGTGTATTTAGGCAGCATATCTTTATTCAAAAAGAATGTTTTACTGCACTAATCCCTATATTATTAATTCTATTAGTCTTTCACTTTCTTTCTCTCTCTCTGTCTCTCACTCTTAGTTATTTTGTCTCTCACTCAAACTCTCACTCTCTGTTTTTCTTTCTCTCACTCACTCACTCTCTCTCACTAACTTTCTCTCTTCAAAAAGATCCTATTTCTGCATAAACGCACGTCAAGCACACTATATTATATCACCAACATTTATAAAATACATATTTAAAGAATCTAATGTATGGCTACCTAGTCTGCTACATCGTAACATGCGGACAAGATCCAAATTTAAATAAAAATGGCCTCTAGAAACACACACATACATAGACACGCACACACACACACACACACACACACACACACACACACACACACACACACACAAACAAACAAATACACATTATTATCAAAATACCATATTAAAAAAAAATAGAATTATGATACAATTACGCATATAAATGAAATGCATGAATACTGCTTCACAATTTAAATACACATGAAATCTGAGTAACCAATGGGAAAAAAAAACAACACAAAATTACAAATACCAGAATTTTTTCTCTTTTTTTCCATACCTCATTCTCTGATAAGGCTTTAATAAAATGGATACACTTTTATTTTAATCAGTGTGTATTACGGTTATAGACCTACGCCCTCGAAAAATCTTAATAAAAAAACAAAATGGTTTTAGAAATTCACATAGAAAGCGGGCTAAAGTATAAATCGAGCAGAACGTTAGTAATAGAATTAAATAGAGGAAACTGATAAAAGACAATGTCTAATAGAAATAAAATTGTTCAACAGGAATTCAAAAAGAAAGATTAGAATATTAGAAAAGATTAGAATATTAGAAAAGATTAGAATATTCGTCGATTAGAAAAAACAGTTAAACCTATGAAAATATTTTAGATAAAGCAACTCTAAATTATTTATAGTTGACTCTAATTGCGGTTATCTGTGATATACTTTCGCAGCCATTTTTTTGTGGTGGTGATGGTGGGAGGGCTTTTCTTTATTTTCATGAAGGGTAACTATTTTCTGTTTATTTCTTCAAGAAAAACTTTTTATTTTTCCCTCAGAAGTCATTGCAGTAAATCTAACAATATCTCCTCCCTTTTTGATTTTTGCAACGAAAACAAATCATCCAGATCCTTATTTTTTTTTTGTCATCTGTGATTAAGAAGGTTCTATATGCAGTTTCCTATTTTCCAGTTTTAGCCCATGGCATGCTCTCTCTCTCTCCCTCTCACTTTCGCTCTCCCCCTCTCACTCACTCACTCTATTACTCTTTCACTTTCTCTCTTTCACTCACCCTCTGTGTCTCTCACTCTTACTCTCTCTCATTCATACTATCACTCTGACTGATTCTCTTTCTCTCTCTAGTCTCTCTCGTGCACTCACTCTCTCACTCTTACTTTCACTCTCTTCCTCGTTCCCACTTTCTCACACCCTCACTCACTCTCTCTTTTTTTCTCTCACACTCACCCTTTCTACCTCTCACACTTACTCATTCTCACTCACATTTTCTCTCTTTCTATCTCTCAACACACTCTGTCTCCTACTCTCTCACACTATCTCTCTCTCTTATACACTATTTCACTCATAATTTCGTTCTCAGTCTCTCGCTTTCTCTCAACTCTCTCCCTCGCTCTCTCATTCTTTCTCTCAGTCTCTCACTCCCTACATGATGTTTTATTTATAAGTATCTTCATTAATCGTAAGAAAATTGTATTTCTGTCAATTAATGATAAATGTTTGGTTACCCAAACTTTGACGTTAGATTTCTCAAAAACCAGAAAAATGTGCTGATAGAACTTTTTGTCTTTAATTCCCGAGGGTCGTAATATGTCGACTAGCCCTCATATGTAAATAATTATGGTTGCGAATGTGACAGAGAAATAAGGTGAAAAACTAGCGCTAGTTTTTCACCTTATTCCATCATATACGCCATGTTTAAAAAGGAAGCCATATGGATTTATTATAGGGTAAGATTGAACAAATTTATTTTTCGTCGAAATTCAAGCAGCTTCAAGTCCTGATCTAGTATTTTATTAGTTCAAAGTGGATCTTGTTGCTATCGAATAAAATAGTGCTAATAACCAATTTGAACTATTTCTTGTTTTCATTTCATGATTTTTACTGCTAATCGTACCAACTGTGTGGTTTTAACCGCTAAGTAAGGTTTTATCAATCGGGGTGGTATCGCCCACCGGGGGCCGATTTCTACTGTTGGGTTGGCGATGAGAAACTGAACAGAAAATAGTGGATGATAAGCAAATGATCAGAAAATAATGTAGGATTAGAAATTTTGGTAGGTGATAAAGTTAAGGTTCGAATGGAGTGAATATAATAGGGGAAGGGAGAGAAAAAGAGAGTAATAAAAGAAAGAGAGTTATAAAAGTGATAAAGGGAGAGAGATAGGTATATATATATATATATATATATATATATATATATATATATATATATATATATAAGCAAATATATGGATATAAATCCGACAGTATGAAAGAAAAAAAAACAAAAAAAAAAACTGTTTTTTAGAACTGTTCCATCGTTTTTAAAATCACTTTTGGATTTGCATTGTAACGGGAAAGACTTTCAAGCTTGTTGAAGATATAAGAACCAATTGATCACTACGTATTCCAACATCAACGGAAGAGATTTCTTTAATTGTTTATAAAAATTTTTCGTTCGACTTTTTGATATTTTTAATTTTTGGAAATCATCTTCGAATACGTCTTAACAACATCGCCCATGTGACGACTACGTGATCATATTTAAACAGAACGCTGATCTGTATAAAATTTCAGTTATCTGTCTGAATTAGTTGGGCTCTTATGTCCATCGTCTTTTGTGTTAAATTCTTATAAGTTATAATGTTAATTATGTTTAAATGAAAATATCCATGAAGATGGTCTTAAATAGACCGAAACGTCCGACGTCGACTTTATTTTAACATTAATAATGCATATTCAGAATTTTGTTTTTTTCTGTATTTTTCTTTCATATATATATATATATAAGAGAAAGAGAGAGAGAAGACAGTATAAAAAAGAGAATGTTTGGGGGATATAAGCAAAGTAAGAAAGAAAAAAACTGAGAGCGTAAAGAGTGTGAAAGATAAAGGAAGAAAGAGGACGAAAAAGATGGAGATACATACGGAAAGCGAGAATGGAGAGATAGAGAAAGAGAGAGAGACAAATATAGAAGAAAACACACGGAGAGAGAGAGAGAAAGATAAAGCGAGAAAAAGGAGAGTGATAAAGAGAGTAAGAGAGAGAGAGCGAAAAATACAGAGGAATAGAGAGAGAAACGTAAAGAGAAAAGACAGAGATAAAGAGGGAGTGTAAAGGGAGGATAGTTGACAGAGAGGCGACGAGGAAAAGAAGCAAATTGAAAGAATAAGAAAGTGTAAAATATAGAAAAAAAGGATGAAAGAAAGAGATAGATAGATAGATAGATAGATAGATAGATAGATAGATAGATAGATAGATAGATAGATAGATAAATAGATAGATAGTGAGAGAGAGATTGAGAAAGAGAAAGAGATAATGAGAAGATTAGTAAAGAAAAAAAGGAGAGTTGTAAGAAAATTATCAAAGGAGAAGTACAAAGAAAGAATGAGAGAGATATGATAGAAGTAAAATATAGGGACATATTTAAAACAGGATTTCCCAATCATGGATATGATGGATGACTTGAAATCTTGGTGGGCGGTATAGGATTTTCATCCTCTAACCACTAAGTCAGGTTTTATCAATCTAGGCGATATCGGCCACCGGAGGCGATTTCAACTGTTGGTTGAGCGATGAACAACTAAACAGAAAATGCTAAGCGATTGGAAATTTTGGTGGTTGATATTTTATTTTCGATTTTGAGTATAAAAAAAAAAGCATTTCAAAATACGCTACTCTACAAATAAACATTCAAAAGAGATATACAAAGAAACTTTATAGAAAAAATAGGAGGTTAAATTGAAATAGCTGGGTCATATTCCTAGATGAGATATACATTTCTATACTTTTGAGAAGGACATATTTTCAAATTTGTCAGAACAACATTTCGAGTCACAAAGTTTTTGTTTGGTTTATTTTTTTTTTTTTTTTGATTCAGAATTCTTAGTTTATTCTATTATTTATCTTTTAAATATTTTAGCAAAAAAAAAAAAATAAGGAAACTTGAACACTAGCCAGACCCGGTTAGAGAGGTAGAACCTGTAACAATTTTATGAGATTTCACAATACACAAACACTAAATAATCAAAGGTAATCGCCCTAACATCATGAATAGAGACTGCAAAGACAAAATGGGCCTTCTTATTTATATGGCAATTCCTGCAGATTGCAATGTATCTTGGAAGATATTCAAAAAACTACCAAAATACAAGGACATTGAAATTGAAATCTCAAAAATGTGGCACATAAGAACATCAACAATTCCAGTTATAGCTGTAGCCCTGGGATTGATTGGAAAAGATTCCAATAGACTCATTGAAGGGATTCCTGGAAGACCATGCCTTAAAGAAATTTTTAAAAAAATGTACTCACAAGTACACCCCACACCTTACGAGGGGCTTTATCTATGTAAAATATGTGGGATTTTTTTCTCAAAATTGCTCAGTGGAAAATTTCAGAATGCCATTTTTGACCTTAGGTCTCTGGTTGGGACCGGAAAGAAATGAGTACACACCAGAAACCAAAGGAAATAAAAGAACAATAATTTTCTCATACATTTGCTGAGAATTTAATCTTTTATTATTTATTTATTGATTCCAATTATTATCGTTATAATAGTAATTGTACATTTGATGACGAACTGTTTACTCTAACATCCGGTGTAAACAATATATGTGTGTTTTTGCGTGTATCGATATACTCCGGTAGATGGAACTCTTCAGTCCAGAAGGGTAGTCCATCTGATAGAAGAAAAACTCTGATTTTAAACCTCCGCTGTCTTGTATGGCCGCAAGGCAGCAGAGGTTTAAAATTATGGGAAAGTCTTCAGGAGGAGACCATAAGGGCAAATGCGGAGCAGGAATCTCTTAGGCAGTCCGGTGTTATGTTCAATCTAGTTTTGGCAAGTCCTCGTGCCAAACTGTATTGGTCACTGCCTTTCCCTTGTGTAACGTCGGTGGCGTGGAGAGGGGAGCTGTGCTGCATGGGCAATCGCCGATCTCTTTGTCCAGGTCCGAACTCAAAAGGCGACACTTGCTGTACCGTCATCAGCAGCTGGGGCATTATTCTTTGGGTGTTGATCCAAGGTCTTTCTCGAAACAAAACAATACCGCATATATTAACATTCAAGTAGTTCTTCATACGAAATAAGTTTTTCTTATATAAATAAGATAAGCGAAGTCGAAGAACAACAAAAATATTCTATAATTTTTTTATTAGTGCAAATTCTTTTTAATTTTATGATTATGAATAAAGTTCGTTTAATCTATTGTCAACATTTGCCACGCTAACCCCAACCACAAAATTTACCTGGTCATGTTTGCGTTCGTTATGACAGTAGCCGCCATCTTTTAAGCCAGCGTTATTGGTTACCTCCCTTTGGTGTTTTTCGTACTTCATAAAGTCAGTTTATGAACTCTTTTTTTTCATCCTTTTTTTTTCTATATTTTACATTTTTTTATTCGTTTTCAATTTGTTTCTTTTCCCGTGGCCTCTCTGTCAACTGTCCTCCCTTCACACTCTCTCTTTATCTCTGTCTTTTCTCTCTTTTTTTCTCTCTCATTCTCTGTGTTTTTCGCTCTTTCTCTTATCACTATCCTTTTTTATCTTTTTATCTTTCTCTCTCTCCGTGTGTTACCAAATAATTTCTCTATATTTTTGAATATTTGCTATACAGGTGGGTGGTGGAAAAATTTGTGTTGTGAATATGGACGATGACGCAAAAAAGATAGGACTCCTTGCGCTAATTTAAGAACAAGGATTTGAAACAATGTAGTTATCCGCCAATTGCTTCCCAATGTTATACGAATTAAATTCCTCCAGTGTAACGTTGTTAAAATTACCCAAGTGTAACGTTGTTAAAATTACCCAAGTGTAACGTTGTTAAAATTACCCAAATGTAACGTTGTTAAAATTACCCAAGTGTAACGTTGTTAAAATTACCCAAATGTAACGTTGTTAAAATTACCTAAATGTAACGTTGTTAAAATTACCCAAATGTAACGTTGTTAAAATTACCCAAGTGTAACGTTGTTAAAATTACCCAAATGTAACGTTGTTAAAATTACCCAAGTGTAACGTTGTTAAAATTACCCAAATGTAACGTTGTTAAAATTACCCAAGTGTAACGTTGTTAAAATTACCCAAATGTAACGTTGTTAAAATTACCCAAATGTAACGTTGTTAAAATTTCTTTCTTTGTGATTTATCCGTATTTTGAAAATTTTAGAACCAATTGAACGTTGTTAAAATTAAAATGTAACCATTTAAAATTTTCCCAAATCCCTAACACCGTTAAAATCGTTCTTTGTGATTTATCCATATTTTGAAAATTTTAAAAAATTGAACTTTGAACGTAATTCTATATTTTCTAATTTTCATAATTCCCTAACACCGGAAAAGATCGTGCGAAAATATTTCCAATTATTAAAAAATTCTAGAAATTCCTATATTTTCTAATTTCTAGAATTGCCAGATATCGAGAAACATATATCCGAAAATATTTAAAATATCTAGGAATTCGACAAATATGACTTTCTATAAATCCCGAACATATCACCCGGAAGTAAAAAAAATATTCTAGTATTTAAAAAAAAAATCAAAAATTTCCCGAAACCGAAAAGCAATTCTAGAATCGCCAGAAGGCAAAATACTTATGCAACGAAAAATGTTAAATTTCTAAAGATGAAAAAAATTACAAAATTTCTAGAATTACGAAAATATTTCGAATTTCTAACATATCGCACGAAAATTTAACGATATATAAACAGCAAGCATTTTTTAATTTTGGTTGCTTAATAACATTCGAACTTTTCTGAGACCATCGAATTCATTTTTGCCTCTTTGCTATTTTCCAGAAGACATTCCAGACGATCCATTCTACAGTCTTTCTTTGGTGTACTGTCCGTGTGAAAAGACAAGAAAAACGGTACTAAAGATACCTTTCGAAATTCATCTATGAAGTAATGCTTCTAATAATAATTAGTCTATTGGCGATCCAGCCTCATTCCTTTCGAAATTCCATTGGTGCAATGCAAGTTTCACTCGAGCAGATTCTTCACAGAAACCGGTTAACTGTCATATTTGTCACAAATCCTCACAAATTGTTGCCATTTGCTCTGTAAGGCTGTACCTAAAGTTGTCTTTGGATCTTGTACAAATTAAAAATCACTATACAAATCTATACTAGTGCAGCTTATTTAAAATGGAGATGATCCCCCATCTTTTCTTTTTAAAATTCACCTACACATTTGTTGAGCAAAGAAAAACGCATAACCAGTTCCCTCTACAAATCTGGATTGAAAGCCGGCCATTTATTTATCTATGCGTAACATGTCTTGGGCAAGTGGAGCCGACGGAACCTGTTCTCTGCTACGTTATACTGTAGCAGATGTCCTGCAACTTGGACACGAACATTTTGGTCACGAATACGTGGTTGTTGATTTCATTGTGACGCGCCTCTACTGTTGCCCTTGACTTCAGTCTAGGAAACCTTCCACCCAGTGATATAATATCACCGTACTGGTTACATCCATAGCTATGGAGCTCCGTATAACCCATTGAGCTATACGGGCATTGTCCTTACAAAGGGGTTCATTTTGACATAACTTGTTTTAATTCTACTAGGTGTCTAACCATCACCCTCAAAAGAAAAGCATGGTGGGGGAACAGGTCTAATCGCTGATGTCCCGACTATGTTCTATTGGTTTATATGGGACTACTAGCAATTGGAAAGTGACTTGACATATCACCAGGTCGACTCCCACTCAATTATCAAGTTTATTTGGTTAACAATTTGAAAGCCACGAAAATAAAATTCTGCAGTTTGGACTTAGTCCTTATTTTGCTTAGGTGTTTGTGTATAGGAACTTAAAAACTGTTGGAGTGTCTCTTTCTTTGTCTCATGCAATTTACATATTTTTGTATGCAGTACTTAAAAGACGCGATATTTCTATTATTAGAATCTATATTAACTGGTCAAGAATATTTCATTGGGATACGCCTTCTTGCTCACGGCCTTTGTTATCCTCAGGCTAGGAAATCCTCCAACCATTGATACCGTATCATCACCACATTGCCTACATCCATAGCTATAGTGCCCCGTCTACGCCATTGTACTAGATGGTTGTTGACCCTACAAAGAGGTTTATTGCCTTTTGATCTTGTCTTTAATCCTGCTAGGTGTCTAACAACTTCTCTCACCAGAAAAGCCTGGTGGGGGAACAGGTTTAATCGCTGATGACCCGACTAGGTTGTACTGGTTTATATGGGACTGTTAGCACTTGCAAAGTGACTTGAAATATTCCCAGGTCGACTCCCACTTAGTTATCACGTTTATTTTGTTAACAATATGAAAGCCGCGAAAATGAAATTCAGCTATCCGATAAAATGTTGAAATATTAATGATTATTTTCAATGTTATAGACAATAGATAAATTTCCTGTAAAATATTCATGAACTCGTTAGAAATTCTATATGAATGACGTATTTTATTGGCGAAATACGTTTA